CACAGGTGGAAAATGTAAAGGGTACTTATATGCACCACAAGTTAGGAAAGAGTTAAAGCTTTCATTAATAGTCTCCTTCCTCAGAGATGATACGGTAGTGGTAAGGGTTCAGTTCCTGGATCACAGAGGCAGGGGTTGGATGTTGACTCTACCAGTGACCGCCCGTGGATTACAGACTCAACATCTTTTGAGTCTTAGTTTCTTCATGTGCAAAAGAAAGGTCATGATACAGTGGCCACCTCCTCAGAGCTGGGGTGAGGATTAACTGAGATAATGTGGACTGAATACTGAGCACAGTTGCTGGGACACAAAACACACACTAAAGATTAAACTTTCATTGGTCATTTCATGAAATATTCATTGCAGTCAACTGTGCGTTGGGTGCCTAACAGGCTACAGAAAGCAGAGCTCAATGCTGTCTCCAGATATGCGAATGATATTATATTCTTTTGAGGAACGGAGAGTCATGCTAAGGGGACATAAATAGCAGGATGGCTTGGATGGTCCAGCAGAAGGGAAAGCTCTCATGAAGAATCACCAGAAGTAAGGTGTGAAGAGCCCAGGAAGGCTGGCCTTTGCACCATGAAGGGCTTGGTACACTGTTTCCCCAGATGGACCCATATTTGGAATGTTTCTGCTAGCAAACAGGCAGCGTTTATTATGTAATTGCCTGAGCACCCAAATCAAGGGTAAAGGCAAGGTTTCCGTTGGGCCTTTTGAAACTTATAATCGTAGCTTGGGAGTCTCTGTTGCAGCCTTCAGGGGACTCCAGGGCAGGCTTCCAGGTGTCACCAAGCAAATGAATCTCCTTAGGGGCCTGTTAAAATGCAGATTCCCAGCTCCACCCTTGGAGCGTCTGATTCAGTTGGTCTACTTTGGAATCTCAAATTGGCAGGCCTGTCCAACCCCTAAGTGACTCTGGTGAGGATATCCTTGGACTCACTTGGAGAAATGCTGGCCTCAGCTGGGACCACCAGAGTGAGCTTATGGGCCAGAAGTGAAGACAGAGGCAGGGAATGGGGAGGGAAGGAGGATAGTTGGGGACCCCTCACCCTACACCTGGAGAGCTGCCATATATTCAGGGTCCCCCCTCCTAACCCTAGAGCTGGGGTCTGGGGTAGGGGATTAGTGAGCAGGACTGATAAGGCATTCTACAAAGATCTGGGCACTTAAGCCTGGGAAACCAACTAAACCAAATGCACTGCTATCAAGTCAATTCCAACTCACAGTGACCCTACAGGACAGAGTAGAACTGCCCCATAGGGTTTCCAAGGCTGTTGATCTTTACAGGAACAGACTGCCTCATCTTTCTCCTGTGGAGCAGCTGGTGGGTTTGAACTGTCAACTTTTGGTTAGCAGCCCAATGCTTACCCACAGCACCACCAGTGCTCCCTCAGCCTGGAAAGAGAAAGGCAAAAATGGGAAAGGCTGGGGTAGGGCCAGAGGGAGGGTCCATAGCTAAAGAGGAACCTGGATCCACTCACCAAATCCCAGAATATGGCCCACTTTAAAGGAGCGGGCAGCCTCTCCCACTGCAAGTGTTACCACAAGATGAACGCACGAATTGAGTTCTGTTTCATTTCCCTTCAGATTTAGGTAAGAGTCAGAGAGATCCCTTAGGAGGCTAGGACTCATTCATTCATTCAGGACGTGTTTGTTGAGCACTGGGTCTAGACACTGGGAATCCCAAAAAAACAAACCAAACCAAACCAGTTGCCATTGAGTCGATTCTGACTCATGCTGACCCCACGCACACAAAGTAGAACTGTGCCCGTAGGGTTTTCAAGGCCTTTGGGAAGCACATCGCCAGGCCGGCCTTCCAAGGCACCTTGGGTGGGCTCGAACAGCCAATCTTTTAGTTAGTAGTCAACCGCTTAACTGTGCCACCTAGGGACTCCACTGGGAATACAGAGTTGAACTCAACCAGTCCCTGTCCTCATGGTGCACGACTGGGGCCCCAGCTCCAACCCTTGGCAGAAGGGAACAGGCAGGGGCCCTGAAACTCCTCCACTGTGCCACTAAGTTGGCAGGGAAGGAGGGAGGAGGGGAGAAATAAACAAATATTAAATGTCTGTTACATGCTCATGTGCTAAGCCAGACTTTTTAGAATAAAATAACAAAAGTGGTAACACTGATGAGGGTGATAACAGTTAACATTTACTGAGGTTACTCTGTGCCAGTTCCTCTTCTAAGCACGTAGTAGCATGCATTGGCCATTCAACCCTCCCAACAAGCCCATGAGATGGGCGTCATGATCAGGCCCATCTTACAGACAAGGAAACTGAGGCCTTGACAAGTGGAACAAACTGCAGTGGTAAATGGCAGAGCCAGGGCTGGGTCCAGCTGGCTGACTCCCAAATGATGTCCTTTCTTCTATGTCAGGTGCCTCAGAGCTGGGAGTCTGGGCTGCCTGGGTCACAGGGGCAAATGATTTCATGTAAAGATGAGACATCAGTAAAAACCCAGTTGGGTCCCTGAGTTTTAGAGGAGGAATCAGAGGCTCAGGGAGATGAAATGTCTCATCCAGGGTCACACAACAAATCCACCACAGAGCCAGGATTAGAATCCAAGTCCTTTGATATCCAGTCCAGAGGGAAAAACACTATTAATTTCTTAGAAGTGTTGAATGAGTATGGGTTTGTGAGGAACAGAGAGAGAGGGAAGGAGACAGAAAGGAAGACATGCACATCCTCACTCATACCCCCCACATACTCTCACACACATACTTAAACTCATACACACCTGTATACACGCCACATACATACTCACATATACACACCTTCACACATCCCACACACCCACAAACAGACCACACGCACACACATACACATCTCACATATACCCAACAGACAACTCAAACACACACCACAAGCATGCCACATACACACTGACATCAAACCCTCATGAATATACCACAAACATACCATACACACCCATGGACACCGTGCACACACTCACCTTGGGCTGGTGTGGTTCGAGGGCTATGCAAAGGCTACCGTGGCCTACCATGTCCACATGCTCCTTTTCTGGGCCACGTTGAGAAAATCCCCCTTGTCACTTGATCATCACACTTTCTTTTGGACCCCAAATTGTCCCAAGTAAGTCCTCAGACGTGTGGCAGTTTTTGTTCCTGGAAAAGGCACCCAGAGAAACCAGATGGGGATGTGCCCTAGATTGCCACTGGCATTTGGCGGTCCCACAAACTCGAGCCAGCACCGCAGACTCTGAGGCACACCCACGGGGAGTTTCCAGGAAAGCCTTGGCTCCCTCACTGGAACCCAGGTGTGGCTGCCCGAGGCCACGGCTTTGCAGGGGCAGCACTGTGAGCCTGGATGAGTTTTGCCCTGTGATTCTGCAGCCACATCTTGGCATGTGACAAGGCTGTGCGTGTGACAGCTGGTAGCCAGTCAGCTCAGGAACCAGTGGAAGGGTTCAGGGAGGGGAGAGGAACCGGCTTTCCTCGAGGGTCTCCTTGGGCAGGTCCTGTACTGTTGTTGTCGTCAGGGGTCCTTGTAGAATATCGACTCACAGTGACACCAAGTGACAGAGCAAAACTGCCCCATAGGGTTGTCCTGGCCATAATCTTTGCAGAAGCAGGTCACCACGTGTTTTTCCCACCGAGCCACTGGGCGGGGGCAAGCTATCAACCTGTGATTAGCAGCCAAGCACTTAACCACTGCGCCACCAGACTCCATGGTGCTGTGCTAGGAGTCTCTAAAACATGAACTCATTTGTATCCTCACAATAATTACTATCCCCATTTTACAGGTGAGGCAACTGAACCCAGAGACACCCACACTTGTGCTTGAGGTCACACAGCAAGTAAATGGCAGGGCCAGGATTCAGACTCTTTGGCTCAAAAGCCTGTATCCTTGTGGCCAAATGGGAAGTAGGACTGAGTGGCTGCTGTCAGACCCGGGTCCAGCTCTGCCACTGATGAGGCCTGTGATTTGGCCATGTGATGTAGCCTCTCCAAGCCTCAGTGTTCTCACCTATAAAAATGGAGACAGTAAACGAAAAAGTCCTTGGAAAATAGTTAAGTGCTCAACTAGTAGCCAAAAGGTTGTTGACTTGAACCTAGCCAGGGGTGCCTCGGAACACAGGCCTGGTAATCTGCTTCCAAAAGGTCACAGCCTTGAAAACCCTATAGCTCCTCTGTGGGGTCACCATGAGTTGAAATTGACTCAAAGGCAACCAACAACAAAATAATAAAGTGAGTGACATGCATTAATCAAGATAATTAATATACACATTGAACACCGCTCAGCACATGGTAAGAGCAGCACAAAGGCCAGAGGTTACTATTTTATGTCATTGTAACCTTGTAACCTCCTCCTCCCCAGCCTGCCTGGGCTCACCCTGCATGCCTCCCTGTCCCCCGCAGACCATTATTGGGACTTCCACCCCCACCACGTGCACAGCGATTTCGAGAGCTTCACTGAGAACCACTTCACGGAGCTGCAGAGCGTGCAGCCCCCCCAGCTGCAGCAGCTCTACCGCCACATGGAGCTGGAACAGATGCATGTCCTCGACACCCCCATGGCACCACCCCACGCCAGCCTCGGCCACCAGGTGCGTGGGCCCGTCCCGCAGGAGCCGCCCGGCCTGTGGTGAGGCCTGGAGCTTCACAGGAAGCTGACACAGGCTCTTACTCAACTCGGCTTCCTGCCCCACAGCGCCAACGGCGGGCCGGAGCCCCAACGGCTGCCTCCTGACCCTCTGACTGACCTCGTGACCCCCACCCTTATCTCCTCTCCACCCCTGCCACCGACGGACAGACCCCAGATAATCCTGACACCACACGCTGGTCCTCCAGACCCAGTGGCCTTGTGCGCGCTCTCAATGCCCACTGACTGCACCCCAAGTCTCAACAGTGACCTCCACTGGCCCCTCTCTCTCCCCACTGACCCCTGTAGTGATCCAACTACCAATCAGTGACCTCCGTTGACCTCCACGACCCCTCACTGACCTCCACTGCCCCTTCAGGGACTCATCACCCCACTTATTAAACCCCATTCACTCTCATGCCTCACTGACTGGCCCCTCAGCACACCCGCGTCTGGCCCCAAGGCTGCTGCTAGACCACACAGCACCTTGCATGTGTGAGATCAACATTCCCCTTTCTTGGACCACGCAGCCCTAATCCAGGAGGCTGACCAACCTGCACCCCCACCTCTCAGGACCCCTGTGCAGGGCGCAGCAGCTGCATCTGCATGTGCCGACCCCGACTTTCTCCACCTTCTCCCAAACTTTCTGCCTCCTACTGTCCTTGCAGCCCTCAGCATGGGGGCTCCTTTCTCACCCAGTAGCTCCTACTAACTTAACTCCCTTCTCCTCACCTGCCTAGGTCTCCTACCTGCCTCGGATGTGCCTCCCATACCCCTCCCTGTCCCCGGCTCAGCCCAGCTCGGATGAGGAGGAGGGTGAGCGGCAGAGCCCCCCGCTGGAGGTGTCTGATGGGGAGGCCGATGGCTTGGAGCCAGGGCCGGGCCTCCTGCACGGGGAGACTGGTAAGGGCCCAGCCCCAGCCCTGACCCACCCTGACTCGGGCCATATCTGTGCCCCACCCCAGCCCAGGCTGACTGACCCTGCCACCCAGCTCTGCGTGTGCGTGCATCTGTGTGTGTGGGTGTGTGTGTGCATGTCTCTGGACTCTGTGTACATCTTGTGTGAGTGCATGTGGGTGGGTGTCTACATCTGTGCTGTGTGGCTGTATGTTAGTGTATGCGTGTCTATCTGTATTCTATGTGCATCTCTTGCTGCGTGAGTGTATGTGGGGGTGTGTGCACATCTCTGTGCTGTGTGTGTATTTGTGTACATTTCTCTGTGCTGTGTGTACATGCATGACTGGGTAGGGGTGTGTATGTGTGTGCCCCCAATGTGGGGAACCATTTCCTCGAGACCCTGCTAGCTACCCTCAGTTCGTCCCCGGTGCCCAGCCCCCACTGCAGGTTGTGGTGGGTGGCAGCCCCCACCCACAGGAGGTCTCACATCAAAGACCAGTGGGGTGGGTCTCTGTGTCTGGGCCTGACCCCACCACCTGCCCTACCCCCACCCTCGCAGGCAGCAAGAAAAAGATCCGCCTGTACCAGTTCCTGCTGGACCTGCTCCGCAGCGGCGACATGAAGGACAGCATCTGGTGGGTGGACAAGGACAAAGGCACCTTCCAGTTCTCGTCCAAGCACAAGGAGGCGCTGGCGCACCGCTGGGGCATTCAGAAGGGCAACCGCAAGAAGATGACCTATCAGAAGATGGCGCGCGCTCTGCGCAACTACGGCAAAACAGGCGAGGTCAAGAAGGTCAAGAAGAAGCTCACCTACCAGTTCAGCGGGGAGGTGCTGGGCCGCGGGGGCCTGGCCGAGCGGCGCCACCCGCCCCACTGAGCCCGGGGGCGCAGAAGGCCCCAGGCCCCGGCAGGGCTCCCCGCCGGCCATAGCATTAACCCCTCGCCGGCCCGGACACAGGGAGGGAAGCTCCCATGGGCCAGAGGCTGGACTGTGGTGGACCAGGCTTTGCCTCGCCCGCCCACGCCCCTCCTTCTAGCCCCCTCCCCAGCCCCCCGCTTTGCCTCCCACCAGGACTCCAGAACGCCACCAGGGTGCTTGACCCGGTGGAAGGGTCAGCCTTGCTTCTACAATCAGCCGTCCTTCCTTGGGAGTTTGGAGTCATCATATTTGTGTAAATTGAACCCTCTTTTCTAAGCATCTCCCCCTTCCTCCACTTCTCATCTATCTGCCCCCTCCAGGAACTGAGTAATTAAAGTTATTCTCAGTGAACCCTTTCGCAGCACAGATAGTCTTTTTATAAAAAAAAATTTAACCTTGCCCCCATGTGCACCTCATCTGGGTCCTGGGTGGGCCTCTCTCTTTCTCTCATTTGTGCTTTGGGGATTTACTGAGGCCCATTCCTGGTGCTAGGAGCTCTGGTGGCGTAGTGCCTAAGGCACTTGACTGCTAACCAGAAGGCTGGCAGTTCAAACCCACCAGCCACTCCTCAAGGAAGGTTGGTTGGGCAATCTGCTTCTGTAGAGATACCACCTCAGAAACCCAAGGAAGGGTGGCTATGAGTCGGATCTGACTCAATGGCAGTGTGTTTGGTTTGGTATACCTGGTGCTGGGCCCTGGGGACCTGAGGATAAATGACACACGGAGCCTGACCCAGAGGTAGAGTATGGTGGAAAGAACATGTCCTCAGTTTTTCTTAGGGGAATAAATTATATTGAAAAGCTCTCTGCACTTGATAATTTTTGTTATACCTCAGTGGGGCTTGAGCGCATAATCTTTACGTCACAAGCCCAAGGACAATAATAATAGCAACAACTTTGAATTTTCAGATCATTTATTATATGCCAACCTTGAGAGGTGGAATCTGATGTCACCCCATTGTATGGAATGGGAAAGCAAGGCTCATAGAGGCCAAATCATTTGTCCAAGGTCACACAGCTGGTGAGTGGCTGGGCTGGATCCCAGCTCAGAGTGGCTGCTGCCTGGTCACTGGGCTACCCTTTGAGAGAGAAAACTTCACCTATCAGCCTTCCCTTATCCAGAGCAGAACACTCTTAGCTCTGGAATCCAGCACCCAAGGCCTCCAGTCCATCACAAAGTGTTCTTTCAAAATCAGTGCCCAGGAAGACGGTACACACAGGCATGTGTGTAGCCTCATGGTATCACGTGCTTGCATTACCAGCCTCCCATGTATGTTGACACATTTGCTGACAGGTTTACTCACATGTATGCTCACATGCATGTCCACATACACAATCACATGTATGTTCAGACACACTCACGTTTGTCCACATATATGCTGTTTGCTCTCATGTTTGCTGTTACACATACTCACATGTATATGGTCATGTTTGCCTTCATGTTTGTTCACATGTCTGGCCACATGTTTGCTCACAGGCATGTTCATACGCACGATCACACATGCTCAGACATTCTCACGTTTGCTTCCATGTATACTCATGTATGCTCACATGTATGCAGTCATATTTGCTGCCACATATGCCCATCAGTCACTCCTCGAAAGGAAGGTTGGGCAATCTATTTCCGTAGTGATACCGCCTCGGAAACCCAAGGAGGGGTCATTGTGAGTCAGGTCTGACTCCACAGCACGTAACAACAACAACACATGCTCATGTTTGTTCGCACGTATGCCCATGTTTGCTCACACGTATGTTCACACGCACAGTCACACAAAGACATGCTCACATGTTGGCTCACATATACTCCCATGCATGCTTCCACATATGGTCCCATGCCTGCTGTCAGTATGCTCACATGTTTGCTGTTTCTTATACTCCCAGGTATGCTCCGACATGCTCTCATGTTTGTGTGCATGTTTCCTCACATGTGCTCACATGTTTGCTCTCATGTATGCTCACATAGTTGCTCACCCATGTGCTTACACCCAAATTTACATGCTTGCCCACATGTATGCTCTCAGTATGTTTGCATGTTTGCTCATGCATATCCTCACATGTATGCTCATACATTTGCTTTCAGCTTCTCAGCCCACAACATGGAGAAACAGCTAAAGATGAGCAGAGAAGCCTGTAAGCATCTGGCTTCTGACAGTAGCAAGAAGTAGAGGCCAGCAGCCAGGGAGTGAGGTAACTCACCCTGGGCTTTTGGAGACCCCTCCCCCACCCCTTGCCCTGGAGGAACAGCAGCACAACCATGGGTGCTCCCTCCCCCAGATCCCAGAGTGAAATCATGCCCAGTGTCCTCTTTCCAAGAAGGCCTGGAAGCACGTGGGGCTTACAAGTAGTGACAATGGAAGAAAAGGATGGATTTCAGTGTTGCAGGGGCTGGGCCATCAGGCTTCTGAAAAGCGCTATGTAAAGGCTCCCTCCTGCCTCACAATGCAGGACCGAGGATGCTGCCTCATACTGGGTCTGGCTGGGAGGGCGTCATGTGGAACTTGCTTCTTTCTGTGTAGCGATTGATGCCCTCGAAGTGACAAAATGAAGGAGGTCCATTTTGGGGCAAAAAGTCACAGAAGAATGATGGGAGGGTACCAGGGGATTCAAGACCTCTGGCATTAATCCTCGGGACTTTTGCAAGAACCCATTCTCCTCTGTCTTCCACTTTGAGGTAGATTTAGAGATTCACCCTCATGCCCTCACTGTAGGCTCACTCAACTCTTCCCCTTGGATGACACCAGCCCCGATGTCTCCCCCTTCCCACTTTGCCCTGGAATAAGTCAACCCAGGATTCCACAGCCTGAGGCCAGCCCAAGCCAGGTGAACTGTGAAAATACCGGCCAATAGTAGCAGGAAATAATCAGGCAGGCTCTAAGCATTTTTATTTGTAAACTCCCTTTGTAAACACATGTACCAATCCTACGCAGCAGGGGCTGTTATCACCAGCCCCGCCTGACAGATGAGAAAACTGAGGTGCTGCAAAGTTCAGGGAATGGCAGAGCCAGGACTCAGGGGCAGCCCACCCCGGCTCTGTGTGGATGACCACGGCTTTGCACGGCCTCACCACATGGCCCCAGACTGCTCCCACTGCCTGCCCCCCAACTCTGCACGGCCCCTTATTACCCCTCATGGTCCCACATGATCCCTCACTATCCTATAAGGCCCTTCATGTCTCCATGTGGCCCCTCATGTCCCCATTTGGCCCCTCCCTGCCCAGGAAGATACCCAGCAAAGGATGCCTTTGATCCACTGTCCTCAGGGATAAAGCCTTGCACTCTTCCACTACACAATTTTCCTGTTGGACATACAGACAGACAGGGCTTGGGGTAACCTTGAGGTTTGATGAGGACTGGGGAGCAGAAGACATCATATTTGTACTGGGCCAGGGGAAAGGACAGAAGCCAGCCAGGAACAATGTGGCCCTCACCTTCTTCCCACAGAGAGACCTCAGTTCCCTGGAATTTGTCTATATTTAGCAGGTGGCTGGGTAGGAGGCAGATAAGGAAAGCCTGGTGAGGGGGTGGGGCCCTTATATAGTGCAGGGGGCTAGTCCCCACTCAGTTCCTCAGACTGTGCCTGCTTGGTGCTTGGTGTGGCCTCTCTCAAGATGCCGGAGCCCGGGAAGAAGCCAGGTAGCTTCAGGTTTTGAGTCAGGCCTGAGTGTGGGGATCGGGAGGACTTTTGTGTGTATGTATGTGTGTTGGGGGGCACACTTAGGGAGTAGCAATAGGTGCTAGTTCCTGAGGGGTTGGTGAAAACATGGCCTCTGAGCCCCAGGACAGAGGGAAGGGGGAGGGTCCTCCTGGGTCCTTTCTTGATTCTCCTTCCTCATCCCTCTGATGAGGGTGGACCCAGGGTAGAGGACACAGAGCGAGCAGAGAGTCGAGGCAGGAAACCCCCAGGGCCTGGAGGGACCCTTTCTGTCCCTGCTCTCCTCTTTCTGCAACATGAATGCGCATGGGCTTGCCTTTGGGGAAAAAGCCCGTGCAGGCAGAGCCCAGGTTTATCTAGACTTGAGCCAGGCTCGCCAAATGCCCTTTGCCAGGCCTCCACCCTCTCTGGGCCTCAGTTTCTCCGTCTGAAAAGGTGGGGTTGGACCCAGTGCCCCTAACGTTCCTTTCAGCTCTGAGATTCCCTGCTTTGTAATCTGTACCCCATGGCCCCTCACACCAGACGTGGCTCCCATGCTGAGAGTACTAGCAGCCCCTCTGCTCTGGGAGAGGATGCTCAATAGTCCCCAGAGCCCAGGCCAAGGGCAGAGAAAGTCACAGCCCAGGGTCCTGGTCCTGGCCTGTGCCCTTATCAAGGTCGCCCAGGGCAGGAATCCTGCCCCTCCCCCCTCGGGCCAGCTTTATCTCAATTGCTGATTCTCAGCCTGAGGCCCTGGGAGGACAAATTTAGCCATATTTCCAGCAGGCAGGCTACCCATCCCTGCCAAAGGCCCCAGATCAGTTGGCCAGGGCTCATCATGCAGGTCCTCAAGCAGAGAAGGCAGGATATCTCCGGGACACGTGCAACACAGTCTCTTGTGGAGCCTAGGACCACAGCCTAGGACCTCTTCCACCTTCTGGCTGTGTGACCTTGGGCAAGTCACTTAGCCTCTCTGAGCTTCAGTGTCTGCATCTGAGGAATGGACATAACTGCACCTACCTGGCAGAGCTGCTGGAGCATTCAGTGAGGCGATGCATGTGAAGTGCTTATCACAATGTCGACAAGAGGATGGGGTGCATGGATGAGCCACTGGGGAGGTGGGCTGCAACCTTGGTCTGGCTCTTCAGTCTCAGCCTTCAGCAAGAAGCCCCGGTCAGTGGAGGTGGCTGCAGGCAGCAATGCCGTGTTTGAGGCGGAGACAGAGCGGGCAGGAGTGAAGGTGCGCTGGCAGCGGGGAGGCAGTGACATCAGCGCCAGTGACAAGTATGGCCTGGAGGCAGAGGGCACAAGATACACGCTGACAGTGCGGGACACAGGCTCCACGGATCAGGGCTCCTACGCAGTCATCGCTGGCTCCTCCAAGGTCAAGTTTGACCTCAAGGTTATAGAAAAGGGTAAGATCCCTGAAAGGCAGCCCAGCCCCCTCTCCATCTGCCTGCGAGAACAAGGCACTTACCCGCATCCTTGCCTTTGCTTTGGCCTTGCCCTCTGCCAGGAAGGCCCTATCCCCTTTTCTACAACAAGACCCCATGTGCCTACCCCAGGCTGCTCCAGCCATTGTGAGGGTAGCAGAAATACAGAGATAAACAAGGCATCCCATCCCCTGGGACAACCAATGGGGAGATTGATCCCCACACTGATGACAACTGGGGGGGCTGTATGTCCTGGCAGAGGATGGACCACCCGGGAGGTGTGGGTGTGGAAGAAACCCCAGCCCATCCCGGGGGAGGGGGGGAGGGACGCAACACGGATCCACAGATACGTGAGGATGGAATCTGTGAGGGTGAGGAGAGGTGTGATGCAGGCTTCCTGACTCATCATGGCAGGGGGAGGTGGTTGTGTTGTTGTTGTTGTTAGGTGCCACCAAGTTGATTTCGCTCATAATGACTCCATAGAACAGAACAGAGCTGCCCCATAGAGTTTCCTAGGCTGGCATCTTGATGGAAGTACACTGCCAGGTCTTCTTCCCACAGAGCTGCTGGGTGGATTCGAACCGCCCACCTTTTGGTTAACAGCCAAGCACTTAGCCTTTGTGCAATCAGAGCTCCTTAGAGGGAATGAGGAGGACCCAGTATGGTGGAAAAAGGAGGAAATGAGTTTGGGCCTCTTCATCCAATGAGGTGCTTGGCAGGCAGTGGGTGGTGGGTCTGAGCCTCAGGGGAGATGGTAAAATGTGGGGACAGAGGGGCCGTGGTGAGGGGGTGAGGTCCAGAGGATGAAGCTCTGGACATGCCGCAGTGTTTGATGGACTGCAGTTTGAGGCGGACCCAAGGACAGGAGGACGGGTCCCTCCTCACATCCTTCCTCCCTTCAGAGAAGGTGGAGCAGACGCCAGCCCCTGCCCTCCCTCCCACTGAGGCCCCTGGAGCCCCCGGAGCCTTGGCCCCAGCACCTGAGCTGGAAGGAAGCTCCCCAAGTCCCAAAGGTGAGGGGACTAGGCAGGAAGGAACAGGGCCAGTGGGGAGGGGATGTTCCAGGGCAGCTTTCAGAGGGCTCTGCTCACAGGGTCCAGCTCTGCGTCCGTTGGAGCTCCCGACGACCCTATTGGTCTCTTTGTGGAGCGGCCGCAGGATGGTGAAGTGACCACGGGTGAGTGTGGCTGCTGTACCGAGGAGTGGGCAGTGCGAGGAGTGGGCAGTGCGGGAGGCAGCGGGGGTCCCCCAGGCCCAGCCATCGCCCCTCCTCTGTAGGCGGCAGCATCACCTTCTCCGCCCGCGTCACCGGGGCCAGCCTCCTGAAACCACCCATCGTCAAGTGGTTCAAGGGCAAGTGGGTGGATCTGAGCAGCAAGGTGGGCCAACACCTGCAGCTGCATGACAGCTATGACCGAGCCAGCAAGGTGAGGGCCTGGGGGAATGGGGGGCTGGGGGGAGACAGGGGGGGAGAGGGGGTGAGGGACGCATGGAGAGGGCACATGAGAGCCCCCGGGAAGCATGAAAGGCATAAGAGGGCCAAGGACAGGTGATGGGGCTCCTGGGAGGCACAGGGAGGCCAGGGTGTCCAGGAGCCATCATGGGGGGCTTGGAGGCCATGATAATCCCAGGGGGACATAGGAGGTTCGGGGTCCCAAGAGTTCAGATAGGCTGCTGTGGGACATGGTGAAGAATTGGGGAAGGGACCCCAGGAGTGAGGGTGTAAGATCCATGGATGAATGGGTATCAGAGCTCAAGGGGTCTTCAGGGACCAACCAGAACAATTCCTCATCATACAGCCCCTGGTGGTGCAAACAGTTAACCACTTGACTACTAACCAAGAGGTTATGGTTTGAACCCACCCAGAGGGTCCTTGCAAGACAGCCTGACAATCTTTTTCTGAAAGTTCACAGCCTTGAAAACCCTGTGGGGCAGTTCCACTCTGCAAACATGGGGTCACCATGAGCTGGTATTAACTGTGTAACAGTGAACAACTGATAACAGCAAAGAGTAAGAAACCAGGTTAAGTGACCTGCCCCAGGCCCCTGAGAACCAGGCCTCGAACCTCTGCCTCTGACTCCCAGCCTTTGCTCCTCTCATTGTTCCACACTGTCCTGGAGATAAGGGGGTCTCTGGCAGGGCAGGACTGACATGGTCAGTTGTGCGGCCTGTACACTGCACAAACACCCCTCATCTGAAGCAAATGCCATTCGTCCCTAGACGGCACAGATTTGTTTGTATCATGACCGTGTTCCAGCAGGTGGCAGTCATGAGACTTGAGAAAGAGCCCCTTTTCTTAATTTTCACCAAAGCTCTGTGTTGGTTTACAAGGCCCTGAGGGATGAGAGGAAAGGGTGAGATGCCTTCCAGGCCTTTTGTCACATTCAGTCTCCTTCAGAGGTGAGAGCTCTTGTTTCCTGGTCTCAAGTCTTCCCTGATAACCTGCTTCCTGTCCTTACAGGTTTACCTGTTTGAGCTGCACATCACTGATGCCCAGGCCACCTTTGCTGGTGGCTACCGCTGTGAGGTGTCCACCAAGGACAAGTTTGATAGCTGCAACTTCAACCTCACTGTCCATGGTGAGCGGTTCTGGCTCCCAACGGCTGCTTCCATTTCCCAGCAGTAAGGAGTGTGGCTAGCCCTGGCCAGGAGTGCCTGAGCAGGTAGATGGTTAACGTGCTCAGCAGCTGACGGAAAGGTTAGAGGGTCAAGTCCGTCCAGAGGTGTCTTGGAAGAAACGCCTGGTGATCTACTTTCAAAAAACAGCCATTGAAAACCCCTAGGGAGCACAGTTCTACCCTGACACGCTCGGGGTTGCCATGAGTCAAAATCAGTTCAGTGGCAACTGGTATTGGTAGGTCTGGCCAGCCAGTGACACTAACCCCTTGCCCAACACTAACAGGCTTGGCTTTCCACAGCAAAGAGTCCTGTGGAAGCTTCAGGGTGGGGTCGGTGGCATCTCACAGCTGGTCCAGATCTCACTTAAGGTGGGACTCTGTCTTGGCCATCTTGGTGTCCCTGGCTGCTGGCTCAGGGCCTGGCACTGCCTGAATGTTTGATTAACAGATGGAGGCTGAGCTGAGGGGATGGGAAATGTGAGACCAACCTCCTATATGGGAATTGGGGACTGCAAACTGCCCCCACTGCCCTGGCACCGTGACCCTGTGAAAGGCTGAGAGTGTGTGTCCATGGGTAAATGCCCACTCTCAATAGGTCATAGACAGGCAGGTCGACAGATACTCAGATTCCAGGGCAGTGTCCCCTCTGAAGCCCCCTCCCCTGTCTCCTCCCCGTTTCTGCACCTAGAGGCCGTTGGGCCCGGAGACCTGGACCTACGATCAGCTTTCCGACGCACGTGAGTGGCTGATTCACCTCAGGACCTGGGAGTGAGGGGTGAGGCATCTTGGGGTCAGGGATGGGCATGTGGAGACACTGAGTCTAACCTCCACAGGAGCATGGCTGGAGGTGGTCGGCGGATCAGGTACCCCTTTCCCACCCCCACCTGCCCCATACACAGACTTCCCAATGGGCCTGGGAGCTCCAGTCCAGCCAGGTCCCTTCCCTCTCACTCCACCCTGGCTGCTCCACTGTGTCCCCTCCTCTGGGACCTCACTGAGGTATCTTTGTAGCGACAGCCATGAGGATGCTGGGACTCTGGACTTCAGCTCCCTGCTGAAGAAGAGGCAAGTCTCTGAGTTATGGCCCCCAGCAGGTATGAGGCCTGGCTTCCGATCCCAGCACCACTGTTATCCAGCTGTGTGGCCCCAGGCAGGTCACTGCACCTCTCTGAGCTCCTTTCCTTGTGTGTGCAATGGGCCAGTTCCAGTGCTGGGAGGAATTAAAGGCTCTGCTGTCCTGTGAAGGACTGCCCTCACAGTGCCCTCACAGTCGCCCTGTGCATAGGCTGACCCCAAAGAAGCTGGGAGCGGGTCCCAAAGCTGCAGGAGTTGCTCGCCCAGCCCTGAGACTTGTGTTCTCTCTCTGTCTTCTCCCTCCCTCTGCTCTGACGCCTCGGTTGTCACGGATGTTGCTGCTGTCCAGAGAGTAAGAAACAGGGTCTGGGGGTGTTGGGGCAGCTGGGTGACGAGTGCAGGGCTGAGCCTTTGTGTGTGTGCACCCATCCCTGCCTGGGTCTGAGGGTTAGGACTCCGTGAGCTGGATGGGTCCTGGCCTCTGTCCTGATTGTTGCCTGATAGAGCCTGTGGCGGCTGTCCCTGGCGAGTCAGGCTGTCCCTGACTCACAGCCACCCCCCGGGTGCAGAGCAGAGCTGCTGCATAGGTTTTCCAGGCTGCAACCTTTCAGAAGCAGGTCCCCAGGCCTGTCACCCGACGTGCTTCTGGATGGGTTTGAACCAACAGGCTTCTGGCTGGAAGTCAAGCACTTAACTGTTTGTACCGCCCAGAGACCCTGGCAGAGCTCGGGAGGGATAACAAGATGGCACCTGCAGAGGTCACACCTGGTGCCCGGCATGTCACGGGCACACTATAAACATAGGGGCATAAGCACTGGGAAGAGAGTGAGGGGGAAGCCCACGGGGTGGGGTCCCAGGTTTCTGTGGGGAGTGGCCCAGACTCCTAATGTGTCCTCTGCCCTTTGTGCCCCACCTGGAGTAGCAGCTTCCGGACCCCACGGTGAGTGCTCCAGGGAGTCCAGCACCCCATCACCCCTACTTCAGCCAGGAACCCCTCCCCAGCCCCAGTCCCCTGTTCTGAACCCTAACAGCAGAGGGGAGGGGAGAGGGGTAGAGGAGAAGGAGGAGGGGAGAGGGGGAGAGGAGAGGGCAGCTACAGCTCCTGGGCCCTAGGGAGCCCCCCGGGGTGGGGAGGAGGGGCTGCCGTCCTGCCTGCCCTGAGGCCTCCCTGCGTGCACCCACCGTGGGACCCAGGGACGCCAAGCTGGAGGCGCCGGCTGAAGAGGATGTGTGGGAGATCCTGCGGCAGGCATCTCCCTCCGAGTACGAGCGCATCGCCTTCCAGCACGGGGTCACCGATCTGCGGGGCATGCTCAAGAGGCTCAAAGGCATAAGGCGCGACGAGAAGAAGAGCACAGGTTAGTGTCCCCCATGGGAAAGGAGCACAGGTTAGCCCCCCCATGGGAAAGGAGCACAGCCCAGCTCCTCACCCACCCATGGGAAAGGAGAGCCACAGGTTAGCCACCCCCCAGGGAAAGGGCAAGCAAAGGTCAGCCCCCAACACCGTGAGGTCACTGTGAGTCCAAATCACTGCACAGCACCTCCAGCAACAACAAGGCATTAGGGACTTTCCACAATCGTCTCACTTAATTCTTGGGGCTACACTAACGTTGAGGGTATTATGATCTCCATTCTACAAAAGAGGAAACTGAGGCACTGAGCGGCCACCCCAGTGGTCCCTGCCAGGTACCATTGACAACAAGCACAGACCTGAGCAAAAGTCGGGTCACCCCAACTAAAAGGAAAAATTGGGTCACCCCTTGTGAAGGGAAAGGAAGACCCAGTGAACCCCCTTTATACCCAAAGAGAAAGCAAAGAAGCCCCTTAGCACAGAGAAAATGGGAAAGAGAAGAGCCTGGTTAGCGGCCCTCCCAGGCAAACAGGGAGCAGGCACAGGTTAACTTCCCAGCACCAGGCCATCAGAGGGGAAGCCACGGGCCAGCTCTTCCAGCAAAGGGCTGACAAGGGCAGATGGAAGGGAGCGCCCCAGGACGGAGGTGGGGGAAGCAGAGGCCCCTCCCACTTGCTCAGCAATGTCTCCTCCGAACCTAGCATGACACCTGGTGTACAGAGTCGTGCAGTAAGTAATTGCCAACCTATGAGAAGGTCAGCTTCCCCACAGAGGGCATGGGAAGTGGGGGTGCCCCTCCCAAATGTACATGTCCAGCCATGAGGAAGAGGAGAAGGGTGGGTCAGAGCCTCCCTGCCGATCTCCCAAGGCCCCATGCCCTCCTGCCCACTCGTGAGACCCGGCCTCACGCTGCTTCCCACTGCTGGCTCTCTGTCTCAGAGGAGCTGGTACATCTGTCCACACCACTGCCTTGACCTGCGCACAGGGCCACTAGTGTTAACCCAGCTATCGCCAGGGCCTCTGGTGCAGGGAAGGCCCTGGAAGCACTGGGCTCAGAGGGGAGTGGGCAAAGAGCAAATACAATGGAGCAGACAGGAGTTGTGAGTGACAATAGTACAAAAGGGAAGACTGAACAATCTACTTCCATAGAGATACTGCCTCAGGAACCCAAGGAGGGGTCATCATGAGTCAGATCCAACTTGACAGCAGTGAGTTATTATTATTATTATTATTATTTTACTAAGAGCTAGGTGGCACAGCGGTTAAGCGCTCAGCCACTAACTAAAGGTGGGCGATTCGAACCCCTCCAGCAGCTCTGCAGGAGAGACTTGGTGATCTGC